GGTTAAACTCAAAACCCTTTTGGCTACGCTCATAGAATTTTGAGTGTGTAATTTGCTTTTTTTATATTGAGAGGGTTTTTATCGTAATTTTTGGAGGCGGTTTTAAAGTCAAAATCTTCCTTAGCTGTTTTCTTGGAAATTGGGGATTGTCGTTTGCATTTTATTTTTAGTTTTGTTGATAGAAGAGGGGGATTTAACTGCAACTCAAAACCCCTTCGGCTATGCTGTGGTAAGTGATGATTTAGTATTAAAAACTCACCTAAAATAAACAATATGAAAGTAAAAAATCAGTCACTGAATTTCGCCCTCCCCCCTGTGGGGGAGATTTCATTTCGGGGGGAGGGGGGGGTTTGAACCCCAACCCCCCCCCCCCCCCCGGCTACGCCTATGATGGTGACAATGACATGAGCATACATGCACTACGCTAAATAGCAGGATTTCTGTCCAGGGCTTTTGCAAGAGAGGATTTGAACCTCTGAAGCTTTTATTCAAATGGAGTTTGATGATGATGACGATCGTGTTAAAAAGATAATAACGTCACGTGTGACTCAATGATAGCGATTGATAGCATATATAGATCTAATCCTTAAAAAAAGTTATAAAGTAGACCAGTGTTCCCAAACTGTGTTCCGTGAGGCCTGAATACGTGTTCCACAAACTACTGGAATATTAACTAGTAGGCTACCACGTGAATTAATCTAAAATAAAATTAGCAAAGTGTCCGCTATATACCCAGAATGTGCGAAGTGTTCCGTTAATGAAAATGTTTTGGGAATCACTGAAGTAGACCATATAGGCCTATAGGTTCCCGTGGAAAAAAAAAGATGCAAGGTAAGATGACTAAGCCAGGATAGCCCCAACAGCGCTCTATTTGCATATAGTTCTGTTCTTTCTAAAAAAAATATAAATTTCTTGATTCGATTATAATCGCAGATCAATGCAAAACAAAAATTAGTCGTGGAATTTATATTAATTTATAACAAACCATGGGTAAAATCACTAACTTTAAAGACACTTCAGGACAGATAAGACACAAACACTAAGCTTAAACTTACTAATACAAAAGCACAACCTAATAAATTACTGACACATAAATGCACATTTATAGCCCATATGCTAGGACTAATTCATATAAATGCTCCTTTTCCCTAAGGCCATTAGAGCAAGGAACGGGTGGCCTGAATTAGCCAGGAAAACCATGACTTTTAATTTAGGGCCTAATTTAAGTCTCTAACATGCATGCATGACTAGAATGTAGATTAACATATGGATACGCATAGTACGCATTACCTTCTCTTTAGATTTTAAGATAAGAAATTAAAAAGATTTTCACCTAAGTCTAGGCCCTTCCAAGCTTCCGGGCGGACTGGGTGTCAGCCGGGGCATTGCTACACGACTCGGCCCAAAACTTGATTGCACATGAAATGCATAAAACTGAACGCATGCATGCAAACGTGAGTTTACATAACTTATTGTATTTATTCATACGGTGGGAAGCATGGTCGAGAGGCTAAGTGCGCTTGAACTTGGCTTGGCTACTTAGAAGGGGGCTCGAGGTTCGACTCGAGGTACTGAGCGCCTAAAGGCAGCACGGAAAACCAACTCCTAGATACCCCCCCCCCCCCCACCGGTCCACAAATGAGATTCTATAAGCATGCTATAAGCATGAAAGTAGCGCTATACTATATATGTAGACCTAAATAGACTTAAAGGCCATAGAAAATAGCATTTTGTAAAAAAGACATTTACATATTACAGTCGTTATCTTAATTAATTTATGACATTATTTTGGAGAAAGTTATCATGATATTCAGCAAGTTCCTGAATTGTTTGTGCCAAACTGGCGAGGAAACCAGCAATTTTATTACTTAGAGGATTTCAGCCATTTTTGTTTTTCATTTCTCTTTTTTTTTTCTTTAAATTTTCCCTTGATTTATATTTAATTACATGTTTAATTGTTTAAATAATAATTGTGATTCGTCAATGACATGGTAGCTGAGAAATCCTGGGATCTTGCGACGAACCAACCAACCAACCAACTCAATAATATATAGGCCTAATGCTCAATAGGCAGCTGGGTAATTCATCCATGAGTCAAATTTGGTAACAGTGGATCTACAGACTGCTGTAGGCCTAAACTTAACTACACAATAACAACAAGAACTATTTCCCAATTTTTTAATTCAGTGGTTCTACGGACTGTTGTAGCCTAAACATAACTACATTATAACAGCAAGAACTACGCTAATATACGGTAGGCTAATTCCCAATTTTTAAGTTCAGTGGATCTACAGACTGCTTAGGCTTAGGCCTAAACATATCTACATCATAATAACTATTTCTCAGTTATTATGTTCAGGGTCCCCTTTAAGTTTCACACTTTGTTCACACTAGTTCGACTTTCATATAGGACTATAAAAAAAAATAGCGATTCCATTATTTCGGAATTTGTAACTTATATAACACAGTTAAGTACGTAAAGATCTTTTATAAAAGGTAATTTATAAGGCGAGGCCACTCACATTTACGGGACCTACTGACATTTAATGTGGCCCGTTCGCCCGCCGCACTTACCTATAAGCTATAGCCAGTCCTCCCCTGCTTGAGCGCACATTTTAAAGTTGAAGTAGGCTTTTTTCTGACAAAGACTAGGTCGGCATCTACTAATCAAACGTGAAAAAGCTCACCATACCCACTCACACTCCTTGTTTATTCAAATTCCATTTGAGTAAGGGTTGAGGTTAAAATCCTCCCTTGCAAAAGCCCTGGACAGAAACCATGCAGTTATGCGTATTGCGCGTCTGTCGATCACCGAACAAGTCAAGAACTAGTGGTTTCCAATCGCAGACATGTCGAGACGGAGATCAGCAGTTCTGGGACAGTTGAAAAGAACGACACGCGATTTCCTCTTTCTCAAACAATTTTTCCATTTCTATTTTTTAAAATTATTTTTTAATTTATTGTATTTTTTATTTCTATTTTTGTATTGTTTATTTTATAGCCTACAGGGCAACAGATCCACCAATTGATTAGCTTTACATTCCCTTCTTGACATCAACTATTACGACTTTAAACCTATAGGTTAATTCAGAAACTCTGTTTTATAGATTGTGTTTTTATTTATTATTATGCGTAGATACATCATGTATTCCGCCAGTCAAGTGCACGCAATAATATAGTTTAGACCTTGGCTGGGCCAGCTGTCTCTTAACGTGTTTCTAAAATTAGCATAAGCACAAAGACAAATAGTTCTCAAACTCTATCGTTTCCTACGTCCCATATTTCTTAGCATATTAATTGTCAGTATATACCCATATATGATAGGCCTACGATTTAGGTATTGAAATGTGTTGTTCTTACAACACATCATTCACTCCAGGACAGAAGACTTTAAAAAGTAAGCAAGCGATATTTTAATACATGGAAAATACATGGACCATATATAGCCTACTTTAGGCCTACATGTATATTACATACAAATAAAGACACAACCTAATAAAATAGAAAGTTACAAAGATAAAGGCACATTTTTTTTTTAAATTTCAGAAGGTAGGACGAGTTGTTCTTGTATATGGGCTATAGCTCTTTCTTCCCTCGAGCAATTACATCATATTATATAGCCTACATATAAAAGGTTATGTCTGCGCTGAGTGCTGCAAAATATGTAGGTCGCAGGTGGAGCTGCCTGAATCAGTCAGGAAAATCAATGACTTAGAGTCTACGTCTCTAATTCACATGCATGACTAAATTGAAACATGAATACGCATAAGACTCAATTATAAATTAATTTTTCTTGTAGGGAAAGTCAATACATTATAAGACTATAATAGGATTATATTTTTGTCTTAAAAACTGAATGTTGCAGCATACCAGTTAATGGTCCGCATGGTAGTAAAATATAACGAGTATTTGTGTAAACTGGGGATGGGGGGCAGGAACTTGAAGATTTAATAGGCCTATCATGTTCTAAATTTGCATAAACAGGCTGGCCATAAGAGAGCAGTACTAGTAGGCCTATTATAATATTAGATCTATACCGTTACAGTTTTCTTTTGATCTAGATTAGAATTTTCCAGAAAACTATTCCAAAACGTAAATTTAAAGAAACAATATAGCCTGTATATTATGCAGTATTTCCCGTAGATACGCAGCCCTAGATGTGACCTACATATTTTGCCACTTCCAGGGCAAACATAACCATTGTCGATTGTCTAATATACACTACAGATCTTATCTTATATAATACAGACGTTACTTTAAAAAAAAAAAATGATTATTACGTACTACGCGTCATGCATGTTGACCAATGACTTAAATTCTGCCAAGTCTATATATAACCATACTATCATAGAATCTAGATCTATATGATATCGGATTATCGGTCTTAGCTGAATATATTAATTATTTATTAAAAACATGCCAGATTTACAACGTCGCTATGTTAAATTTTAATTGCCAATATGTCATTACAAAAGGGTTTTAAATGTCATGCTACTATTGTGCTATAGAATTTAATATATATATATATATATATATATATATATATATATATATATATATATATATATATATATATTCTAGATCAAGAGTCTATAAACCAGTTTAATAAAGATATAGATCTAGCTTTATTAAATAGTAAATTCTTAATAATCTTATAGACCTATTGATATCTAGATCTAAAAATGGGCGTCGTACAATTTATTAATAATATTTTCAATTAGATATAATAATCTAGATAGATATTCTATGACTGAATTACACAATTAAAACGACACTGTTTCGTTATATAGATCTACATCACTATAGATCTATATTAACCAGTGAATTTGAGAAGCTTCTAGATGGAGATCATTTTCAAATTTGCTTTGTCGCGATGACGTCAGGATTTATTTTTACTCCACTGCTGCGCAGACTTGGGGTAGTATAAAACGGAACGCTTACAAACAAGCGCAGAAAACTGGCACACAGAGAACAAAGATATTCTAGCGATTTGTCAATATTTTTTTGAAAGAGCACTAAGAAAGGTAAGATATATATATTTAGATCTAGTGAAAAGAAGCTTAGATCTAGCCGAAATCTGTCTAAAGACTTAAGAACATCAAATTATGGTTTTCTAGCTCTAAATGTTGAGTCAATTTAGACAGATCTAGACATCTACACTAGACTACAACTACAGTAATTTGACATTTGTGACGTCAAATATTCATACTAATCAATCCATTGCAACCACTTATAAATCAGCCATTTTGTTTTTAAAAGTCAATTAGATTCTATATTTAATCTAGTCTTCTACATAGATCTAGACCAAGATCTATTATACTAAATCTAATTATAGCCAATGTAGGCCTCTAGAATTTAAATCATCAGATTATGATTAGATTAGACTTGTCTTGATTCTTGCCATTCTTGGTATTCTGTCACAGTGAGTAATAAGAGTATATGTATTTGCCAGGCTATGCCTTTTTCACTTTTTGCTAAAATCAGTTCTTGAGTTATGCAAACATGTTATGTAATCAATATTTGAAGCTAGTACAATTCCAAGTTTCTAGTCAACTTGTAGGTTGAAGACTAATCTACTGTAGTCTTTAGAATAGATTACCTGCCAGCTGTCCTGAGATTCAGGTTCCAGATATCTAGATCTAGTGTTCTAGTCCTATTTAGAATCTTGACAAAAATAATGTCTAAATTATTCTAAATCTAGTTTACATTTTTTCTTTATTTTGCTGTTCATGATTAGGGACATTAAAAAAATGTATAATTTTTCAAAGCATAAAAAAACAACTTTGATTACATTACATTTATATATCTTCTAATCTACTGCACTTTTAACTTACAGATGCAGATTTTTGTCAAGACCCTCACTGGGAAAACTATCACCCTAGAGGTTGAACCATCAGACACCATTGAAAATGTCAAGGCAAAAATTCAAGACAAAGAAGGCATTCCTCCAGATCAACAGCGTCTCATTTTTGCTGGAAAACAACTTGAAGATGGCCGCACCTTGTCAGATTATAACATTCAGAAAGAATCAACACTGCACTTGGTCCTTCGTCTGAGAGGTGGTATGCAGATCTTCGTAAAAACACTCACTGGCAAGACCATTACACTTGAAGTTGAGCCCTCAGACACCATTGAGAATGTTAAAGCCAAAATCCAAGACAAAGAAGGAATTCCACCAGACCAACAGCGTCTCATCTTTGCTGGCAAACAACTTGAAGATGGCCGAACCTTGTCAGATTATAACATTCAGAAAGAATCAACGCTGCACTTGGTCCTTCGTCTGAGAGGTGGTATGCAGATCTTCGTAAAAACACTCACTGGCAAGACCATTACACTTGAAGTTGAGCCCTCAGACACCATTGAGAATGTTAAAGCCAAAATCCAAGACAAAGAAGGCATTCCTCCAGATCAACAGCGTCTCATCTTTGCTGGTAAACAACTTGAAGATGGCCGCACTTTGTCAGATTATAACATTCAGAAAGAATCAACACTGCACTTGGTCCTTCGTCTGAGAGGTGGTATGCAGATCTTCGTAAAAACACTCACAGGCAAGACCATTACACTTGAAGTTGAACCCTCAGACACCATTGAGAATGTCAAAGCCAAAATCCAAGATAAGGAAGGCATTCCTCCAGATCAACAGCGTCTCATCTTTGCTGGCAAACAACTTGAAGATGGCCGCACTTTGTCAGATTATAACATTCAGAAAGAATCAACTCTGCACTTGGTCCTTCGTCTAAGAGGTGGTATGCAGATCTTCGTAAAAACACTCACAGGCAAGACCATTACACTTGAAGTTGAGCCCTCAGACACCATTGAGAATGTCAAAGCCAAAATCCAAGACAAAGAAGGCATTCCTCCAGATCAACAGCGTCTCATCTTTGCTGGTAAACAACTTGAAGATGGCCGCACTTTGTCAGATTATAACATTCAGAAAGAATCAACACTGCACTTGGTCCTTCGTCTGAGAGGTGGTATGCAGATCTTCGTAAAAACACTCACAGGCAAGACCATTACACTTGAAGTTGAACCCTCAGACACCATTGAGAATGTCAAAGCCAAAATCCAAGATAAGGAAGGCATTCCTCCAGATCAACAGCGTCTCATCTTTGCTGGCAAACAACTTGAAGATGGCCGCACTTTGTCAGATTACAACATTCAGAAAGAATCAACTCTGCACTTGGTCCTTCGTCTAAGAGGTGGTATGCAGATCTTCGTAAAAACACTCACAGGCAAGACCATTACACTTGAAGTTGAGCCCTCAGACACCATTGAGAATGTCAAAGCCAAAATCCAAGACAAAGAAGGCATTCCTCCAGATCAACAGCGTCTCATCTTTGCTGGCAAACAACTTGAAGATGGCCGAACCTTGTCTGATTATAACATTCAGAAAGAATCAACCCTGCATTTAGTGCTTCGTCTCCGTGGTGGCTATTGAATGGCTAAGTTTATCTTTACGCTATTCATTGAATTTAGGACTAGCCTTTTTTTTTTTTTTTCCGATCTAGTTAAGATCAATACTAGTAATCTTTTGTTACTAGGTATCTTAGTCATGTAAGCGATGAGTATTTATTTTTGAAAACTTTATTCCCTTATTTTGTAAGCAAAGTGAAAATAAATAAAAGCTTATTTTATTTGGATTTTTATCTTGAATCTTTTGGCTTCCTTGTGCTTATATTTAGTGGCTACTTATGTTTTTTTTGTACTGGTAATTAAAATTTAAATGTGTATGTAACAGCAGCTGTCAAGGATGATAAATTTAAATTATGTATGTAAATATATATGCCTAATAAGGGATGGATTTGTGTATACAAAATGTTCCTTAACATTTGTGTAATTAAAATTCAAGTTTGTAGATATTGATATACTATTAATGCTTGCTTCACATAAATTTTACTCTGAAACTGATAACTTTGCCTTTCGTTTCAACTCATAATAATTATTCCATATTTAAAGCATACCGTACTTGTTACTTTTGTAACTTGTAAGCTACAGGTACTACAAACTTGTTTTTCCACAGAGGGATTTCTGTACTTTGATGAAAATCATTCTATAGTCATATAATAGGGAAAATAAATTTTTGGGGCTTTGAAACCAGGTTATGACATTTTTAAAAAAATGGGGTGATAGGACGTTGCCTACAAATTTGTAAAAGTATTTAAGTAGTAAATAATAAAAGAACAAAACATTTTAGCATTGACATTTTTAGAGGCAATAAAAAGCATTAGAAATTTTTATAGCTTGCTTTATGCATGGTCCAATAGTAAACAGTTAAAATTAAAAACAAAACATCCACAAATTCTTTTCCTGGTTTAAGGAATCCACTCATCTGCCAAACTCATTTCCTCACTGCTGGAACCAGAGGGCTTCTATGTCAATACAGTTTTCATTCACTAGGGCCATAGCTGATGTTGAGAATATTTGGCTGTGCCTTCTTGCACTAGTCTCACTGAATAACGTACAGAATTTTATTTTCAATCTTCTCCCAATGCTAGCTGCATTTCTGCTCATAATTTTTTGTTTTCACTCTTCCAGATCTTAAAAGTTCTACATCATAAACTTTATGCTTGTATCAGCTCAGCTCGACATGACTGACTACTGTAACTAAAAAAAAAAATAAAAATTTAAGGGGGTGACCGCCTCTACCTTAGGAGTAAAATTATTATGGAATTACAATTTACCCACATAAATATAAACCAATAAACAAAAAAAAAAAAGTACAGTAGGTATATATATATATACACACACACATTTTATCTGAACTTGTGTAACTCACCTAAAACAGCTGAAATTGAAGGTCCTTATTGAAAAATGTCTGTCATGTATGTTTTGCTACCGTGCTTACAGAAAAGAAGTGTGGATTTTAAAACACTAACCTATATTCTTTATAATGAAAATTCATCTGAAGCAACCCAGGAAAAACTTTCAGCCTTTCACATTTTTACGTTTATATAAACTTTATATCAACCCATTGTCTGTTAAAAAGTACACATTATTTCTCCCACACCAGATCAAACAAGTTGAAACTTGGCACAATTATTCATCAGTATGAATCGATTTAAAAAAAATAAATACTGGTAAATAATTATTGATACCAACAAGGGAAATTAATCCTTCAGCATTAACAGATATGGCTAAATATATAGGGTTTCACCCCCCCCCCCCCCCCCTGAATAATTGAACATCATTCTCCCACGCTCTTTCTCTAATCAATTATTCATTGTACCTAAATTATATTATAGCTTTTATATAGCGCTAGCTACTTTCTGGGAGAAGATTTTCCGTGCTGCCTTTTGGCACTCAGTAAACACAACTCTGCTCGAGTCGGTTGTTGAAGCACGAACCCCCTTCATAGGTAGCCAAGCTAAGTTCGAACTTATCCTATTGACTATGCATACCTAACAAATCACGAATAAAAAAATTAAGCAATAAGTCTAAATTATTGGTAATTAATTACCAGTATTTTGCTTGATATCATATAAGGGAAATATCTATACCATTGTGGGGAATTCTTTCCATTAGATAACCCCCTTTTTAAAAAAAGGATTTTTAAAATATTTGCTTCTAAGTATCAAGTATTCAGAGTCACCCTATTTCATGGTAACTATTGCAAATTGATAGCATACTGGTGCATGCATGCTGAATTTTATCTGTACCTTATGAGATTAGTAAAAAAATGATATATAAAAAACTTTTTTTTGTTCCAGAACATGAATTGGCACTTGTATTTCCACCTTCCATCTTAATTAAAGCTTACCAAAAATTGCTTTCTGTCTTATTAACAGAAGAAATTTAAATTTAAGTACTAATGCACTAACTAAATAGAGGAAGAAAACGTTATTGAGAATGATGACTTGTTTACTTTGCAAATGCAAAAAATATTTACAAAAACATTTTTTTTTCAGTGATGGTAATATAAAGAGGTAATCATACGAGCATACAATTTAAAATTCATTAACTAACATTTTTTCATAGCTCTAACATAGTAGAACATATCTGAAGAGAGAAAATTCTTTTTCGCATAAGTGAAATTTACAAAAAGAAAGAAACCCTATTCAAGTGATATATTTAAAAAACTATATTTTTTATCAGCCAGTCAATGCAATAAATGGAAAATGATCTTTGATTTTATAACAGGTTCAACTTTGTAACATAAGTTTTATATTACTTATGACAAAAAATTTCATTGTAGAGCAAAGCAAAAGACAAATACTGGTAATACTAATATAATTGCAATTATGATTATACAAATTAAGTTAACTACTGTACCAGTAATAAACAATAAACATTTTTAAAACAAAACCGAGGAAATAATTGTCAGTGGGTAAATATTAAATTACCCAAGAAAGTTATCTTAAAATTCTTCAAGCTAAGGCATGAAAGACATGTTGATGCATTTATTTACAGAGGAACCCACAATCCCCCATCTTTTCAACCTCAAGGTAAAAAAAAAAGTTATTTCCTTTTTGAGACCCTTAACACCTTTTGACAGGTCATGTGAAGTAAAATTAAGTTAATGTGCTTATTTTGCAGTTAACATGGACATTATGTGGCCAGCTAAATTAACAAATACCATTTTGCCAGGTACCGGTATTCATATATTGCTTGACTTAAGTGATTCCTCAAACCAATGGATTAAAATCTTTACTAGGATCATTTCAGAAGCAGCAAAGCGTATTAAAAACCACTCTTGTAACATCTCCATTTGTCACATCTTTAAACTTGAAGGAAAGTTTCAAGGTATAGACTAAAATAAGCACACATCCATTGCATTAAGTTCATTCAAAAGATTCACACAATGCACAAACTTGCATGCATTCAGAAATATATGTACACTGTCCAAAAAAAAATTTGATGAT